GTATCAAAACACACTCTGTAAATTTATGTTGAGTAGGCAGTCCTTTAGTGAAAATGTTGATATAAGGAGCTCCAAAAGTTATCTTTTTAATAAAATGAATAAGAAAACTGATATATGTCATCAGAATCAACTTTTCAGAACACTGTATATCAATCAGAGACGTGTAGCAGTCCAGGATGTCTGCCTTCAAGGAAACACTGAATTTCTGTAAGACTGGTGACTTTTTCGGCATTTTATTTTCTCTAATCCCATTCAACTCTTCCTAGCCCCAGGATAGCCTTGAAAATCAAGAGACCACAATCACTGTGAAAGCCAACAAACACTTGATAGTTGATAGAATGGGCTAACTGGGTTGGAAGTAATTTAACTCCCCATTCCCAGAAAATTTATATTATTGGACTGAACAGGTAGTTTCCTGGAAGTCTCCACTCTCACGGCTGTCTTTATTTGATCCAACTGAGAGCTCACTTGTGCAAACAATGTTTTCCATAGGGGTGTTGTGTAAGACAATCAGAAGGGATTGTTGAACATCACGGCTGTCTGAAGCAGCGGGTAGCTTTGGACAAATAGAAAAATCAAGCAGTTTAAGAGGAAAATATGGAGAATGACAAATTCATAAAGGGTTTTAAAAAGCTCTGGCATAATCCTGTGAATCTAAAACAGCACACACACATGTGGGACTGTGGAGATGGGGTCGTGTGCAGGCTGAGGAAGGACTGAAGGAAACCCTTGGATCAAATAAAGCTCTGACTGACCCTGATGCTGAGCCGGCAGAAGTTAAGGCAAATAGTTAAGTTTGTGACCGACTGTCAAACGTATGACCTGACATGTACACTGAACCTTCCTGAAAGTTTGGGGACTATATTGGAAATATCTGTCAAATTATAAGCTGATCACTAAGCTAAATGAGCAGACACGTCAGTGTCCACAAGTGACAAAGAGTAGCTATAGTGATGGAGCATAAAAGTCACTGCATAAAGAAAAACAGCTACAAACTTCTACAGAAACAAATCTTAGGAGTTGGGGAGGCCCTGATTTTCAGTCCTGTCAGATTATATTATTTGAAATTTGTGTTTAAAACCAACTCTAGTTTTTAACAAAAAAACTATGAGACATGCAAACACATATATACACACAAATAGAAAGTGCAAGAGTGAGCAGTTACTACCTAAGGGTGGGAGGAAGTCAACAGAAACCGTCCCTGGGGAAACCCTATTTTGGACTCACTGGAAAAAGTCTTGAAATCAGATATTTTAAATATGGTAAAAAAAAAAAAAACAAACTAAGGGAAACTATGTCTAAAGAACTAAAGGAAATTATAAAAATAATATTTTACTAAGTAGAATATTAATAAAAGAATACATTTAGAAAAGCCAAATAGAATTTCTAGACTTGACAAGTACATGAATGGAAAGCAAAAAAAAAAAAAAAAAAAAAAAATCATAGAGATTTGACATCAGATTTGAGTAAACAAAAAAAAAAAGTTGCTTGAGATCATCCATTCTATGCAACAGAAAGAAAAAATAATTAAAGTAATAAAAACCAGTCTCAGAGACCTGTAGGAATATTCAAGAACATCTACATATTCTTGCATATGAACTTTCAGCATATTGGAATCCCAGAAGGAAGGGGAAAAAGAAAAGGGCAGAAAGAATATTTAAGAGAGATTGTGCCAAAAAATTTCCATAATGTGAAGGAAAATAATTGGTTTACATGTCCAAGAAGCATAACAAACTCTAAGGTGGATGAACTCAGCTTCATAGCTGGATGCGTCATAATCGGTTAAAACCCAAAAGTGAATAGGTCATTACTAACACTAATAAGTGCTAAACAAAACTATGATGAGATTCCATCTCACAAACACATGATGACAAGTGTCCATTCACATGAAGGTGCAGAATAGAAGCATCTGTAGAAGACAAAATAAAGAACAGCGGTCAACAAAGAGTGTGGGCTAGCAGAATAGAGTGTGACAGCTAATGGACTGAGATCTTTTTTTTTTTTTTTGGTTATCCAAACATTCTGGCATCACACAGTAATGATGTTTGTACAACTCTGTGAATTAAAAAAAAAAAAAAAAACTAAAACAACAGTGACTTGAACATTTTCAAAGGATGACCACTGCAATTTTAAAAGAGAGAAATATATCTCAATTAAACAAAATACATGACACTTGCAATGCTGAAATATTGATATCCCAAACCAAAGTTTACTGAAAATATATATGTAAAATATGCAATGATTTCAGCAGAAATTTTACATCAAGGGCCAAATGCTGACACTGAAATGAGGGTGGTGTTACCTGATGTGATTTTCACAACCATGGATCCTAAACTTTGATGCTCCAAGATGTTCCTCAAGTGCATTACATGCACATTTTCATCTAAATCTTCATCAATTTATGTGAGGACTTATTTATAAAATCCCCAAATATACACATGGAAAAACCAAAGCTTCGATGATTAAGAAATCAACCCCAAGTCTCTCCACTTGTACGTAGTCATATTTGACTTGAGATACATCTGACATTAAAGCCCACAACATCCCACTGAGATATAATTTTTCATTAATAGGTTAATTATTTGTAAATTATATAATTTACTCAATAGCTTTTTATTTTTAAATATTTACTGTGGCTCCTTTTTAAAGCAGGCAAAACACTGAAATCTCAAGGAAAATCAAGGCACTCGCTGAGCTAGCAGGCTTGTGGGATGGATAACAAGTAGGAAACAAGCTGATTATTGTGGGAAGTCTTGACAAAATAGAAGAGGCGGCATGATAGCAAGAGACTGAGCGCTCCCAGGAGGCGGTGGAGAGATGATCTGTGAGTTTAGCTCTGCATGAGAAGCCAACCAGCTCTGCACAAAGCTGGAGGGAGAGTGACTCAGACCCTGGAAGGAGTGAATGCAAAGGCCTCAAAGCAGGAATGTGTCTGAGGAGAATGCAGCTGGATGTTGCCAGAATATGATGATGGAGATGGAACAGCAAGTGTGAGGTCAAGAGCAAGGTCAAGGTCAAATCATCCAAGGCCATAAATCTGAGGAACAGGTTGAGGGGAAGAAAAGGATGACAGTGTTGATGGTGGTGCCAGTGGTGGTGATGATGCTGATGATGGTGGTGATGATGGTGACAAGTCTACCAGAAACACACAAAATTGGGTACCTGATAATGCCAGCATCTTGCTAACAAAGTGCTTTGTATACATTGTCCTCACTTGCTTTCAAAAAGCATAGAAAGAGGAGGATTTTCTCCATTTTGCAAGGGAGAAGCCCAGACTCAAAGATATTGGTTAACTCTCCCAAGATCACACAGCTCTATGTCTACTAAATGGGTGTGATTCTTTACCGTGGTTGCCAGTCCCAACTGCCCTGTAAGGTGAAATTCTGAGGTAGAACACTATGGATCCTTACTATTCAACAATGCTTTAGCTGAATGAATTAAACCAAAGTGTATTTTGCTTACCAAATGTTCCTTGTGTGTGTTCTACGCTTCCTGTGGTTGGTAATAATTCTTAAAGTTTTGATGTCTATTATTTATATCTCTGAGGCTCTAATAATACCAACATCGTGATTTCACAAAGAACCCCCACCTCCTGAGTTGTCATTCTGGGTCACCACCTTGAGGATATTTTAAGAGAGCACCTTATGTTCTAGGGACAAAATATCCCAATCTCATTGCAAAAGCCAGCTTGCACGACTCAGAGGCTGTGGCAGGTTTAAACTGTCAGTTATTAAGCAGGTTGTTTTAAATAAGCAGGAAAGATCTTGTTATTTTGACATGAAGTTACAGAAAAGGGTCAGCAGTCCCAGGAGCATAAAATGAAATGTCACAGGGTCCAGGAATATGCCATTTCCATGAGAAGCCATCGCCCCTGCCAGGGAAAGCATCAGATTTATGTTTCCTCCATCAAGTGGCAAACGGTATTGACAAGTGCAATATTTCTTGTGCTCTGTCTCCTGGGAGGATTTTAAGAAAGACAAAAGATACCTTTTTTTGCCCTTGTATTTTGAGAGGTTCAAACAATGGTCAGTGGTAGAAGAAAAGCCACAGCTGAAAGAAGTCACTGCCCTTTCACAGACGCACACCCCATGGCAGAGGGTTGGGGGAGAATGGGCTCAAGAGAAGTTCTTTTATTTTTTGGACATGGGACTAATAGCAAAGATTTATTATTTATTTTAAACATCCTTGGTTATTTTATCACCACACTGGATTCCACCTGTCAGTGGGGTCACCTTAATTCCCAGCACCAAGTGCCCAGGGCCCTCCATTCCCTTCTACTGCCCTCTCCTCCCACCACCCCCTTCAGTGTCAGGGATCTCTGGTCTGCTTTCAAGGGTCAGTCCTACAGTTTGTCTTTGTCTGATACTCCAAGAAAAAAAAAATGCCAGTCAAGAGAAATTCTTACTGTCCCTCTCCTCAGATAAAGTTTGGGTCTTGCTGGTTATTGCTGGGAGGCTGGAGCTCAGCAGCAGGGAGCTGGCTCAATGCACTTTCCTTGGGTAACAGCAGCTCCCAGATGTTAACCCAGCAGTCTGCTTCTGGGACCCACAGGAGCAGCTTCCATTTGAGGAAGAAGTCAGATTTCTCTCCTTCTCTGGGGTAAAACCATCCCAGCCTACTGGTTGGCCAGGTTCAAATCACATTCAATGAAACATTTTTCTGAGACTCAAACACATAATTAATTACTAATTCCTTTCTTTAAAAAAAAAAAAGCAACACGACTCAGAATGTTTTGAAATATTTTGAAATGTATCCAATTGTCTACAAGTGACTAGTGTATTATTTATCTGTATACACCTCCCTTATGTCATCTGGGAAAATGCAGCGATTTCTTTTATTATCTTCGGTCCATAGCTAAGCACATAAAAAGTAGTAAATAAGTAAATGATTAAATAAATTAATAACTCAAACTGGAAATAATCTAGCAAATGATGCTTTGGAAGTTCTCACCAACCTTGACAATAGAATTATGGCTTCATTACTTTTTTCAATCCCTTCAGATAAAATTGTCCAACCTTTCACTCGCCCTGGAAGAAAAGGCCAATTTAGCATCATCCATCTTCCAGGTAAGTTCAGAAGGATGTTTCAGGTGTTGTGATTTATGATAAACTTGTCAGTATAATAGGGGAGAGAAAAAGCTACCAGATTTTCAGAGTAATTTATTCTGGGATTGCGAAGGAGGTATGGATTGTGTACAGCCTTGCGTGCCGTGCCTCTCACACGTCTCTGTATTACCTGTCTCTTGGAGATACTGCAGTTTATCTCTGCAGAGTTCCACATATCTGCAAAACAACATGGCAAGGATTTTCAGCAGGATCTTGGCCTGAATCAGCCAAAATGGTGGTGGATTAGCTTTTCATTGATTATCTGATGGAAGAGGGATGTATAAAATGAGCAACTCATGTCTGAGTCTTGAAATAAAATCATTTTCTGCCTGTGGAAAGGATTAAGAAAACAGAGTCTGTCTCTCTCTCCTGTTAGCATAAGCTCTAGTTCTACCACCATCTTTTGATGTCCTCAAGCTTCTAGTGACATCTGGCCATTCAGCCCTACCGAAGTCCTGCTTACATCCTAATGGACTATTGATTGGAAGGTGAGTGGAGCAGGAGCTGTAATAACATCATATAAAAACAGGAAGACAATGTCTGTACCTTCCAAACATATATTCCTACATAGACTCACACAGCACTGAAAATTCAGGCCCAGCCCATATATAATGCTTATCGACTCTATCCCAGGCCTATCCTAGGCTGTTTATATAGTTACTTAATCTTGACCTGAAAGGTAAAGCCTTGTACTTTTAACTTCACAGATGCAGAAATGGACTCAGAGAGATTCAGCAGTCAAAACAGCAAAATTTGGTTTTGTGTACACTAATTTCACTGATCTGTATTTAGGACAAAAATAACTAGTAACAGTAAATAGCTATGATCTTATATTGATAATTGTGACATTTTAATGTCTATTATAGCCAAACATTACAGATGGAATTTTGTCCAGAGATCAGCAGATAAGCAGCACACACCTGTTAGTAAAGATAGGATAAGCAAGAGTCTGATGTCTAATTACAATCCTTGCTATCATATCTCACAAAGAGCTCTCAAGTCCTTTCTGACTTCTTTTTATGTATTGCCAGCACTCTGCTTCAAGCCAGTACCAACTCTATGGGACTGCTTTCCTAGCTAACTAGGCTGCTCATTTCTGTCCACCATTATTCATTCTCTTTCTATAGCTAGAGGTCATGTTTTGAAACAGTAATTCAAGCATTCTGTTGCCTTAAAATGAGTTAACAAATATTTAAGATGTCCCCCAATTTTTTTCTTCACACTAGAACTGCACATGAAACCATTCACTCTATGCCCATTTATTGGATGTCTCATTGGGATCTCAAATAATGTGACCCAAATGGGACTCTTGAAAGCTGCTGAAGATACTGATGCTCAATATTAAACCTTTCCAAAAATTAATGACTTCAAGCAATCACAACATTTATTTTGTCCATAGATGTGCAGTCTGGACAGGGCTTGGCAAGTGTGGCTTGCATCTGTCCCACTGGTACCGACTAAGCAGACTCAAGGTCATCTGGAGTTGACTCAGTGGTAGTGGCTGGGCTGAGTCACAGCTGGGGCCGTCAGGGAGAACGCCCACAAGCACACTCTCCGTGAGGTCTGGGCAACCTCACACCATGGTAGCTACGGTTGAATGTCTCAAGAGACAGAATATAAAGGGGAAACTTTGGTCCCTATTGATGTCCTGCCTTCCACATCAGCTGTTTTATTTTTTTGAAGCAACAGTTAAGCCCTGCTAAATTTTAAAGGAGGAGAAACAGACTTTATTTTTTGGTCATGTTCTAGAAGAGCATGTACGACTGGAGCTGTGCCCCTTTCAGTGGACAGAGGTGAGGTATATGTGTACTTGTGTGCAACTCTCTCTACCCCTCTCTATACAAATAGTAGATAGATGGTTTTGTGGGTGTCTATCTATAGTTGATATGTAGATGCAAGCACTAGTACATCATCAACAGATAACAGATCTTTGAGATCCTTACACATAATGTTCTATAAGGACAGAAATATTAACAAGTGCATTGATATCCATCATCTCTATTGTTGAAACTCATGAGTTGACACCAATATCTCCAATCCAGTGATTCCTATCCTACATCACAGGGTTATTTAGTTTTCTTTCTTGCCATGAATGCGACTCCTTTCTGTGACAGAGAAACTCCTTCTGTCCTTGGTACACTTATTTATTTGATAAATTTCCTTCATGGCAACCAGGCTCCCATTGCTACCACCACTGCCTTGCCTGGGAGGACACTTTATTTAACCTATTTGTTTTCTTCCACTTTGCTTAATCCTGAGTATCTGCACATTGTCTCTTCACCTCCCCAGTCTGCACATATGCATGTCTCTTTATCTTCCTAAAGCTCTGACTCACCAAGTGTCCCCGCTAGACCTCTGTTCTCATTTGGTTCAGACCCTGTATTCTTGAGTTTGTGTGACATCCTCATGGATGCCCTTCTCAGCCCATTTGGTTCTGGCCTCCATACTAGGTTTTTTAACCCACACTCCTCACTCAGCATGGACACCCTCTTCATCCAAGTGTTTTACAGGTAAAAACACTCCTCCAAGTAGACACTCATTGCCCTGCATGGGCTCTGAATCCCTCAGCTGAGCCACTGCCAAGCAAGCATTCCATCCTCACACTTGGATGACTCCCCAGGACGCCCACCCCATGCAGATGCTCTCCTCAACTTGTTGGGGTATAGGTCCCACAAAAAACTCCCCTTCCTGGTGGGTGGCTATCTTGCTTGGCCTTACCTGATGGTTTCTGAGCTAAATTGTTTAGGAAGTTGAAGGAAAATGTTGTGTCAGTTGGGCCCTTCAGAAAGTGGATGCTGAAATGGAGCCAGGAACGAAAACAACTGATGGTGGAGAGCACCTGAGAAGTCATGGGACAGACGCAGCGTGGCTCCCAGCCCATCTGACAAGGGGAGTCAGACAACGCCACCTGTGAACTGGGAGGCAGCTTGATAACAGCCTGTACTGGTCAGAGGAGGGCACTGAAGCAAGCATTGTCCTTCAAGTGAGTGCTGTGATGGCACAGCCAGGAAAGTGCAACCTCAACCATAATCAGAACTGCAGAAGGTAGAGCTGGGGGGCTCCAGTAACCTATAATCCTTACAGCCTGTCTGTACGTTGTTTCTTGAAGAGGAATCTGAGAAGTGTCTATCTCTGTCCATCTGTCACAGTCATGGTTAGGGAAAGGAAAAGACAGGGTCTCTATTATCTTTTGATGTGTGCTAAGGAAACATCAATGTAAATGCACGGCCATCTTGAATAACAAAAGCAATCCACAAAAATTCAAAATTGAATTCAAATTCAAAACTGATTCTCAAATGTCATTGTCAAAACCACCCTGGTTGATTGGCAAAAGTATAGATTCCTGCCACTGCACCACTGATCTAGAACTGAGCCTCAGTACGGATCTCAGGAACCTTCAGTTTGAACAAGTTATTATAAATATTTTTAACTCTGCCTTCTATTCACTTGTCTACTCAGTGAATATTTATTCTAAGGCCATTTTTATCATGCAGGTATGTGGACTAATCTAGCACTTCTGTCCAGCCCATAACTCTGGGAGCAATAACTATTGTTCTGCTGAGTGCAACATCTTGTCCTTTTACTGTAAATCTATTTTGCTCAGGGGCACACTTTTATAGGTCAAGATTCCTGCTGTGTTATTGAAAAATGGAGGTTAGGTTGTACAGAGCAATTGTCCCCTGCAAAGTCACAAAGTTGGGTCTAGCGTGATGGATATTCTTAGGTTATATGCGCTAAAACACACGCTGAAAGTTGAACTTAATTTGATAGGGTGCTTAGCAATCTGACCTGCCTTGCCAATATGAAATTTTAGGTATTAGGTGCATGTAAAAGAGGAAATATGGGAAAAGCTCAACAGTTCATGATTTTTGCTTAAGCAACACTTCTACCAGCTCACTCTAGTCTTTTTCTACGCTTTCTGTTTTTCTTTGACTTACTGACCCTTTGACTGTGAAGTTTAACTCAGTATCTTTTCTTAAGCTGTTCTTTGATTTTAATATATGTCCCCATCTCTGACTCAACACTATTTTTAACATGATTTGGTTACCTCCCCTGTCTTCACACATAAACATATGTGGTTGTTTAAGCATGTGCCCTATGGTCTCTCAGGTCCCCACAGGCAACTAGCAAAACAGGAAAGTCTTTGTCTTTTAAGCACATTGGCAGATATGTTGGTCTTTTTGCATCAAAACCTTTTGTTTCAAAATGTCATTACTGTTAAGGAAACACTCCAAATACAGTGACTTAAAACATAATTATTTGTTTTTCTTATGCCTTTGCAGTTTAGGCATAATACTTCATCTCTTTTTCATCACAAGCTTGGACAGTTCGAGGCTAGAGATGACTCAGAGCTGGAGGCTGGAATCATATAAGGTCAGATCACTCGTGTTGCTAGCTCATTGAACTGACATGTTGGCTGGGATACCTGTGCATGCTTGTTCCTCACTGAGCAGCAGCTGTGTTCTAGGAATGGGTGTCCCAAAAGGCAGGACTTGCGAGGTGACCATTCCTTAAGGTCTGAACCCAGAAAATGGCCATTTCCATTCTCAGTTGCCTATTTGTCAATCCAAGAGTCCAGATTCAAAGGTAGGGTCATAGAGCTCAATTTTCAATGGATAGAACTTGAAAGAATTTTGGGGCCTCTGCTTAAAACTTCCACACTAAACATACCATAGTAACATTTGCAGTGGTGAGGCTCTAACCCCAATCATAAGATAATCACCTTCAACAAAGTTTATTCCAAAAGAAGTTCCCATTTTATGTGAACTGAACAGTATGTGACCTACTGAGACAAAGGGAAAGGCAGAGGAAGTGCACTTGGCTGATTCCTGCAATGCAGTTATTCTAGAAATGATGTACAACAGGGGCGGGTTTTCTCATGGGAGTCCTCTGGCAACGGAGGAGGAGGGAGAAGACTCCCTGTAAAAGCTCATTAGACTCTTCAAAGTTCTGGCACAGAGAATGTCCTGTGTGCTGTTCACAATGCCCACCAGAGAGGAATCTGGGCTGCTGTTACCACTTGCATTAAACCAAGGCTAGAATTCAAAATTGTGATCTTTGAGAGTATGGTCGGTATTGAATAGCTGGCAAGCAGAGAGACTTAAAATCAATTTTCTGCCCAACCACATGCCAGGACAATTTTGTTCATTCAGTCATTCTGAATTCCAATTAGGGCCAAAGATTCCAACCTGAATTGGTTTTATGACACAGGTATGTTGTGAGACCTTCATAAAACACCTCAGTGGTTCCATTCATTAACCTGGAGAAGGGGGCAATTTGGTCAGAAGAGGGAGTCCAGTTCAAGCCCACTGACCTTCACAAGACTGACGACATCAGTGTTTCCTAGGACACAGCGTGAAAGGGTGCAGTTATGAGTGTGGACACTTGGGGCACACCACACTGTGCTGTTCATGTTGAATTTTCACAATCTTTCTCCCAGCTTCCTTCATGCCCATCTTAGGCCGTTCCTTTCTTTGTGAAGTCACATCTGATGTGGTCTAAGAATAGTGATTGGGCACTAAGGTAAGTTAATGATGTGATTCAGGATAGATGAAGAACCGAGTAGTCTTCTGCAACTCAGACTTCTGTGGGAGTCTTCTGGGGTCTGGGAGTTGCTGATGTCTCTGGCAGGTTTAATAGGATCAGTTTTGGGACACGGAGGGAAGTGTGGATGAGCAGCATGAGGTCAATTTTCCATTAGGATGTCTCAAAAAAAGACTTTAAAATGCTCTTAAGGTTTGTTTATAACACCTCTGAGTTTTCAAGGTTAGACAATTAGGAATAAATTTATTGAAGAAGAGAGCAGGAAGAGAACTTACTTACCGACCTTTTTTATGTTCTAATTTTCTTGGAAGGAGATGACCAGTTTGAAATTTAAGATGCCTGTTTATTTACAGGCAATCATTGTGTCCCACTAACACTCCTGCAATGCCATTGTATTAGTTTCCCGTTGCTGTTGTAATTGCCATGAACTTGGTGACTTAAAGCAATAAACATTTATTTTCTTACAGGTCTGGAGGTCAGGAACCCAGAATCAGTTTCACTGGCTTGAAATAGAGCTGTCAGCTGGCCCTTGCTCCTTCCTAAGACATTAGGAGGTGATCTGTTTCCTTGTCTTTCCCAGATGCAAGAATAGAATTCTCTCTATGCCTTGATTCTTGGTCTCTTCCATCTTGAAAGCCTGCAGTGTAACATCTTGCTTCATCAGTCATAACTACTCCTTCTCTTAGAATAAAATCTTCTATTTCCCCCCAAAAAGACTATTACAATTAAAATCAGAACCTCTCTGCATAAACCTCCATTTTTCTAGCTCTTAATCACATCTGCCAGTTTCTGTTTGCCATATAAGATAGCATTCACCAGATAAGAACTTAGAAATCTTCGGAAGCAAAGATATACTCCTATATTTTTTTCATTGTAGATAAAGCTCCACGGAAGCAGAACCTAGATTAAAGTTCAGATCTTTCCTTAGCTTACAGTTTTGTTTTCCACCCACCGCCCTCTTGCTTTACTGTTTGAGTCCTAGGAAATGCACCAACATCCTAGATGCAAATCAAGAATCAGCTAGCACCAAGATCCCAAAGTGTACAGAGTTTACACAAGGTAGTAGGTGTGGATCAGATAGCATCTTGGATGAATTTCTATATGAGCAGTACTGAGAGAAGTTGAACTTTAATTTTTCTTTTTTTTTTTTTATGATTTTGAACTAATTTTTTTTTATAGAGGCATGTTTTTTTTATTTTTATTTATTTGTTTGTTTGTTTGTTTTTGTTTTTGTTTATACAAGCACTGGGTACAGTCAGAAGCACGGGAGGGTGAGAGAATTCACCAGAGCCAGAGCGGGGAGCAGAGCAGGCAGAAGGACCGAAGTCCACTGCTGAGGGGAGCAGCGGGCGGCAGGAGAGGTCTGCGCGCCATGTGGGACCCTCCTCTGGTGGCCGGGGAGCAGCCGGGGATCGAGCCGTCACCACAGAGGCCGCGGGCAGCTTCGCAACCCAGAGCTCAACTGCTGCGCCACCGGGGAGGCCCTGAACTTTAATTTTTCTAATACAGGCACAACGCCTCTTGGTTCTTCAGCTTCTGCAGATTGTATGAATACTTAAATTTACCTTTTTTTCTGAAGGTGTAGGTTTAATTTATGAACCTTATTAGTGACAATAAATAATATATTGGGCCTTCTGCAAAGTCTAGCAAAAATAATTTTTGACTTATAAATATTGAAAAAATTGAATTAAAACATCCCTTAGAAAGAAACTTAATGGAGCAGCTGGACTAGTGCATGACCATTTTCTAATCTGATTTTACTTTTCTGTCTCTTTGGCTCATCCATGTTGATACATTGATCCTTCTAAGAACACAACAATCCTGCAGAGCACAGAAAAATTTCAGTGGCCAAATGCATTTGGGATAATTGCTATTCACTGTACATAAATATGTTTGTCACTCAAAATCACAAAGAAATGAGATTGGAATTGACCTGGAACTGCCAAGAGTGGCAGGGATGTGTGGTAAAGGGAGACCACAGGATGGGGAGACTGGAGAGCAATATTTTAATCCATTTTGATGAGCCTGGTCTCTCCCAGTACCCCATCATCTCTCTTAGCATCTCACGCATTTGTATTCCCCATGTGACCACTGCAATAGATGCTTAATGATTTCTCCTATGGGCATGGACACAGACCTTCACTCTCTGCCTCCCATCTATTCTAGCTGTAGACTTCTGGACAGTTGACTTTGTTATAACACTTAGCCCAGGAAAAATAATTAAAAAGACAACATCCACCCACTGGGATTGCAATGAAAATTTAAATGGTAGATTCAAAGTTCTTATTACAGTGTCTGGAAAGGAGTTGGTACTAAAGAAATACTAAGGGGATACTCTGAAGTTTCTGTTTCCATTTGGCTCAGTCCCCATTCATCTGCAATATCACTGCCAAGTTAATTTTTACAAGTAATTCTGATCACGTTACCCCTTTATTCAAAAATCTTCACTGGCTCTTTGTTAACTATACTTTGACTCAAACCATTCCTGTTGCCTTCTTGGTATTCCTCATTCCCTCACCTCAATATCCTGCAGTTTTGCTTCTGTGCTAAACCTTTCAAGTTTCTGACAACTCAATCTGTTGACTCTTTTCCTTAATTGCATTATTTCCCTGCACCATGCATGTCCAGACCTTACCAGTTAATGGAATATGGAGTCAAAGTGATCTATTATTTCTGAGCCAAGAAAATTAATTGGTGTGTAGTCCTCCATTCTCTCTTTGTCTTCAGCCAAATTCAAACACAACTTCTTAAATAAAAAATATATCTCTAAAAAGCAATAAACAAACAAAAATCCTGTGGCCAATTTCATACTTAGTAGTGAAATCATTTTGGGAAAACTCTATGAAAGTTTCTACTAACACTGAACATTCATGCTCATTGATTCAACTTCTAGGTATTTATTCAAGAAAATAGTGTCCTTATGTTTACCATGATTAGTTCAATGCTATTAGTAGCTCTGAAAATAACTTAAATATCCATCAAAATAATAAGGGAGATTACTCATGTGTTGGGACCCTAGTCTCAAAAATGAAACCAACAGAAACCTGAATAACAACAGAAAACTAGAGTAAACAAATAACTTGGATGAATCTAGCAGACCCAACATTGCCAGACTCAGCCAGTCATTTGTATTCCATTTACCTAACTGTTAAAAAACAGTCCAAGGTAGTCAACAAAGTGGAAGGCAGGATGACAGTGATTCAAAGAAATGAGAAAGGGACTTTTGTGATGCAGCTCAAGACCTTATTCTAGTTAGTTACATGGTTATTTTTACCTTGTGAAAAAGAATTAATTTCTGTATGTATGAGTTACATAATTTCCTAAATGCATATTATTATTCAGTATACATCAGTCATCTTGGACTGCCAAAGCAAAATACCATCAATGTGTTGATGTAAGCAACATAGGTGAATTACTCATAGTTCTGGAGACAGAGAAGATCCAAGTGCCAGCCACGTAGGTTTTGCTCCCACGCCTCTTCTCTTGTATTGAATGCAGCTGCCATTTTGCTGAGAGCCTAATTGCCTTCTTTGTGAGCTGGAGGAAAGGCAGGCAAGAGAGAGAGAGAGAAGTCAGCTCCCTGCTGTCTCTCTTATAAGAACAGTAATCCCATCATGGTGTTCAAACAGAAGCTGTACCCACATGACTACTGAAAATCAAAGTACTTCATGAAACCTCCATATTTAAATTTCATCCCATTGGGGCTACGTCTTTACCATCATCAATTGTGGAATTCAGTACATAACAAATCCCATGTTATAAAAATAACTATAAACTTAACCCCCTTCAACTCTTCAGAACATGCCCCCAACGCAATTATTTAATTGTTAGAACACATCCAAAACAGTAGAGATTTTGGCAATACACTCGTATCATTTTTCCTTACACCCTATTTGCAGGTCCTTGGTGTCTAGATTGAGTCTTCCTATTCATGCCATATGACTGTAGGATTCCTGCCCATATTTTCATTCTTCTGTAGCTTCTAAGACCCAGCCATCTAACTGTAGGAACTCACCTTGACCACTTTCATTACTTCCAATGATGCCATTTTCTCATTTTATTCAATTTGTGTTAGCAGAAAAATTCCCTTCTGGAACTAAGATGCTACCCTTTGTTAATGGCAGCTTGAGGAGAGGATGTGCCTTTGCGGTGGGTCTTTCCTTCCCTTGCCCGCCCACCAATCATTGCATCCTCCAGGCACAGACGGGGGTCCTGTTCCAATGGCAGCCTGGAAACAGCCTTATAAGTAAATCAAATCAAGTCAAGGCAAACATGTCTGCTAGCTCACCCCCTCGCCCCTGCAACCTGCATTTAGAGTGATCCCTTCAAAGTTTAGCTCTATTCAGTTCACCTTTCCTGGATCTGACTTTTTTTTTTTTTTTTTTTTCACTTCTCTTTGGTCAGTGTCAATGAGGGTCAGACATGTCAGGCCTTCAAGATCATACAAGTCCTGATACATTTGGTTGTTAACCTACCCCATTTCTTCTTGTTCTGCTCTTCTCAAATGTTTTCCCAAGCATTTGTGGGAGCTCTTCAAAGACTAGTCACCACTTAGAGAGTCACCATTTAAAGAGAAAAAAAGGGTAAGCTGGAAAAATCAAAATGAAGATAAGAAAACACTATTTTCTAAGTAGATAGAATATAAATCAAAGAAACACAAGTGTGGAAGGCAAGAATACTCAAATGTGGACAAATAATTTCAAGTCTATGGGCTGTCCAATGGCCATGTGCCAGGGTTGGCAGGAAACAGTGAAGGGGAATAGCAGGTCATTCAGGAGTGGTCCTCTAAACAGCACTAGTCCTTCAGTTTCTGAATCTAGTAGTCATAGGGTCCAAGTGCAAGCCTCTTGTTTCCCTAGAATTGAAGGGTTTTGGTTGGATATAATAGTGATAGAACCCACACCTTTGTTGCCTTCATCTTTGTATTAATCAAACTGCAATTATCCAACAATTTTTTTTTTACCAAATTGTTGAGACACTTTGAATGTGAAATGAACAATGAAATTGCTTTCATATGTTCTATTTAATAACATGTTATGGACAAAATTTATCACTAAATAATCACTTTCATTATCAGGTTAATGGGTTATAGTATGACAACGCTTAAATGCCGTGGTCAAAATAAAATGCATTAAAGGAACTGTTTAATAACAATTATTTCTCAAGAAAAATCATATACAAAAGATAAACTTGCAATAATGCTTGAGAATCATCAATACTCTAAAACATAGAAGGATAACAAGGTATCATTAATTTTATCATCTCTTCCCCTTCATTTCTTGCTCTTTATTCTCCTCTACCTATTTCCTCTTAGTTTTTCCCTCATAAATCAAGTTGATTTTAATAGTCCTAAAATAAAGAGTACACTAGAAAATGATATAAATTTACTGTGGTGATTCTATCATATTTTGCAATATATTTAATGGTAAAATCAGTAAAAAAAATGCATGCATTATCATCATCATCATAATCATCACCTTCTCTGATGCTGGCAAGGTTGACATGAAATGAACTGTGGGTGAGAAAATTGGTCTAGTCTATATAGAAATTTATTTGAAGATATGTATTAATAGAATAACACAATCTTTTCAAATGTAGCCCCAGCAACTACATTTCTGAAGCTCTAACAGTAACAATCCAAAATATACAAATACCATTACACTCAAAAATACTTAATCTATTTATAATAATATAGATATTTATAATACTAACAAATATGAAACAATTTAAATGATCCAGAAAGTGGAATGATTAAACAAATTATAGTATATATGTTCTAAGGAGTATTGCACAGGATTTAAAGTCCATGCCTATGAAAAAGATGTCATACATTATATTATAAGCCTTTTCTTTATTAAAGGAAACAGCAGGATGGGTTCTGTACATAAAGTATGATTACAATCATGTTGAAGTTGTTTA